ACAAGTTATCATACTGGTGAGATGCTTAAAAACATGCCAAGCTTTTTTTTTTTTTAATATTTTTTTTCCTTTCTTTTTAATCAGAAAAGGAAGGCATGGTTATTTTAGATAGAACCTATTTGCCTTCTAGTCACACATTTCAAATTTGCATTTTCAGTTTCATTTTATGAATAATTTTCTGGAATACACAATTTATATAGGTATAATTTTACTTAGAAAATAGTTGTATGATTGCAAGCTTTGAGGAGATTTGTATTCTTTATTTTCTGTATTTTTTCAGGAACAAGTGTAAGCAACCATCTGTTATATACATTATAAGTATAGGATTGCTCCTCAGCAGTCTGAGAGAAAGGAGATGTCAGCCTTCTCCTACATTATCTTCTGGGAAATGGGATGCCAGACATTTTAAAATAGCTTTTGAAGGTAAAATATTGGAAAGAAACCTTGTTTTGAAACTGTTTTTTATAATTTTGTTCTAATTTGTCAATAATATGTAGTGTAGTGATCTGGATCAACAGGGATTGGCCTGAGATGCAGGCTTGGGTTTTAAATTTAGGATTCAGCCACACTACCAGTGGGATATTTGGGAAGGCAGGTTTTATTACATAGCTGCATTATCTCCTAGGCAGATTTGGAACCAGGCAGTTGACTTGCAGATTTTGACTATGCATTCAAGGTTCAGGTCTGCCTCTACTTGTTTCTTATTTTGTTTCATAAATATTTTGAGTTTTCTTTAACCACAGTCATGGTTGTCCACAGATGAGCTGATTAGAACTTACATAATGCCTGCTGACATAATCCCAGGAGAGTCTTTGGACAGTATCTCATTTGAGATGTCCATAAAATACAACAAGTTTTAACTGAGTTAATAAAAATAAATTTCAATTTCCTAATGGTTTTCCTTTTTGCCTGAAGAAGGATATTAATGCTTTATCCAAACCTCAGTAATGCAAAGGGAGAATTGAATAAGAGATTCAGACTAAAGAAATGTAATAGAAATAGTTCTCTCATCAGGATTAAAGGAGAATGCTGATCATTAATTACTTTTCAGCTTACCCCACTCAACTACAAAGATACAATTTTAACCTGATCTGAGCAATCAGCTAAAACTTGGAATTTTTTATTTAGTTTGGTTTTAAATTCCCGAGCTTTTTGTATTGTTAATACCATTCTATGTATCAAGATGGAAGTTTGATGTCTTTAGTACATGAGAAACCAACTGTTACCATATCTTCTTTATTTTTTTTTCTTTTAAAATTCAGGTTTCTAAGCCAATTTCCAATTATTGTTGAGCCTCATCACAATCTATGGATTTTCCTTTAGGTCTTGTCCTTGATACAAATTCTTCTGTAACTTAAATTTCTGCATTTTTCTTCATTTCTTCATTCATTCATATCTTTTAGAAATAGAGGTGTGCAAGATACATTTTTGTGTTTTTTTTTAAATTTTGATTTCCTCCTCTTTCAGGCCTCTGGCCTCTGATAGTTAAAATTCCCCAAATTACTTGTGACATGGTATGGATATGTGCTTGTTACAAATTGTAATTGAGTTTCTTTTTCCTTGGTGCTTCTTTCTTGACACACCCTTACAGATCTCTCTTTTAGTCTTTTGTTTGTTAAGCTGAACAAAGAAAATATTTTCAGTTTCTTCTCCAGATTTCCCTGACCACTGTAGAAGTCTTTCTCTTCCAGATTCAATTCCTTTTTTAGACACTAGATAATCCAAATAAAGAACAATAGAATATTAATACAATTTATTATTGCATTAATGTTGATATCTAGAAATATATTACCTGATAAATTAAAAATTTCCTTTAATTTCCATAGGGACATCATTTTGATAGCTCATAATTACTTGTGATCTGCTTTGTACCCAAAGTTTCATCTACTGTAATTTTCAACTGCTGAGATCTCAATTTTCAGTAGAAACTTAATAATCATCAAGTTCACATCTTTGCATTGTGTACTATTAAATTTTACCTCAGTTTTATTCTTGTGGTCCTAGAGGTAATCCATGTCTTCCTGGTACTGTTCCAGTCTTCATATATTATTAGCAGTGCTTTCCCATATCAGAAATTTCTGAACAAATCCAAACTATGATTTTTTGCTATAATTCATACTATGCTCTGGTAATTTATAAAAATATGTAGTAAGACTGATCCCTCAAATTTCTGCTGAGGACTATGCATTTGTATTGTTCTTCCAGCTCTTTTGGTGCAGCATTATATAATTTCACATTTTACAGATTGCAATATCTTGCACTAATTTCAAATGTTCTTTATCATGATCATTAGTACTAGAAAACATGACTTAAACTTAATTAAAAAAGCTGAGTGACAAAGATTCTATTGCTTGCTCCCTCACTGCTTAGGTCAGCTCTATTTGATATGAAATTGATTTGTGATGGATTCAAAGTGACCATTATTTCACCTTGCATAATTCACAGGAAATGATATTGCTTTCTTTTTGTCCTGTGAAGAAAAATTAAATAAAAAAACAAACTCTGCTCGTGAGTAATATTTTGTATGACATAAAGTAGTACTTGTTGATAATCTAAAGGGGATGGGTTACATGATTTTTGCTTTAACATGTCAGAATAAATATCTATACTTTAAAATAGTATTGTATTTGTACCCTCCCTGTGCTTTAACATTGCTGATGAAATGTTAAAATTTTCACTTTTGCAATAAAATAATGGTATTGACATAAGGAAAAACATGGAATAAGTTCAATGAAAGTATTTCATTAGCTGGGATAATGTGCACAAAGAAATAATACTATATTTCTGAGTGCATTTATAATTTGCGCTGAGATCTTAATCAAACTCCAGAAAATAGTCTTCTACCTTGTGTTTTACTAGGTCTTGAATTCTTCAAGTGTCCAGCAGGAGGAGAGACCCTATACTCTCTGTGAGCAGAAACTTGTGTCTGACAGCTGTGGGGATAGCCCCAGCTGTGTGGTTTTTATTCTGAATAGAGATCATCGTGCAGTACAAGATTTGCACAGCGAGAGCTACATAATATTTATGAATAGTGGCTTGGCAACCTACCTTTTTTTTTAATATAACTTCTTACCATCTTTCTGGCCTTCATATCCCAGCAAGTGGCTTTTGGGGACTTGGAAGTGGTTGCCAGCAACTTAGATATGTGGGATTGCACTCCCTGGTATAGTTCTAAGTAGATATTGGTCAGAATGAATTGCAGAACTCAGGGTTTGTACAGGAGAAAGTAACTTAATATTTAGTGCTGTTATATTATTTTTTTTTAAATTACCATTGAAACTAAAAATATTACCTTTGCTGATATCCTATTCCATACTGATGCAGGGAAAGCTGTTTTCTCCTTTTACTGCTAGATTGCTCTTGTTTGTTTTTTGAAGGGCCTTTTGTCTCCTTGTGCATATGCATTTATTTTTGTGTGCATAGATTTAGTAATATTTTCTGGGTTGAAAGTGACTTAATGAGTTAATCTGGGGAAAGTTGAAAAGTGGCAGCTTTTGAGAACGTTCACAATGTTCAGAAGTGGCTCCCTGACTGCCACTGCCAGCAGCAGTAAAAAGACAGTGTCAGGCTGTTGGACATCAGGATTAACTCTCACAGAATATAAAAAGCAGCATCAAGTTGGGCATTATCTGGTTCTCTGCTGCACTTCAGAGCTTCAGTGGCTGGCTCTGCCAGGTGCTGGACACTTCAGTGGAGACCCTGTACAGTTCCCTTTCCCTGGAGATGGAGCATCCTTATGTTGAGGCAGTTGTACACTGGATAAAGTAAACCAGTTAAAACTGATAGCAGGTAGCTTCTCCCTCTACAGGGAAATTCGTGGTATTCATGGATGAGACCAGTTTGCTTTTATAAGTGCCATAATGGGAATGACTGTAAACTAAATTTGATTAACTCTTCAGTTACACAAAGGAGCGATTACTACAACTGTATAATAATAATGTTAAATTAACAGGATAGGATCTGGGTGAATTAATTCAGAACCATTTGCTTTGCTTTCAGCTTCTGCTTATATTTTGAAGTAAAGAAGGGCATCCAAATTAATTTGAATAACACTTGAAACAAACCGAAGTTAAATTAGGGTAGAGTTTTTTTCTTCCAAGTTTTATTTGTCAATAAAATTCAATTGGTAGCAAAGTGTTTCAACATGCCTTGAGAGAAAGTTCCTCTGTGTTTAAGGAGATGAACCGAATGCCTCAAAATTAGTATCACTATGTGAACACAAATAATAGTTCTCTGGGTCTGGAATTCAGAGAAATTACTAAATGATACTTTTACCAGTTTGGTGGCACTGTTTCATCTTAGTTCTGTGAAGTGTTTTTTTTGTTTGCATGTTTCCTGCCATAATACTAGGAACAGTAAATATAAATAATGATTTATAATAATAAGTTTCATTTGGAAATTTCAATCTGTATAAAACATATGTTTTAATAAAAAGTTCAGTTATTACTTTGTAGTCTTAATAATTTTAAAATTATTAAGGAGTTTACTGTACATTGTTAGCTTGAAAGGTCTTCCATATCAGAAAAAATTCATGCATGATTGTTTTGTTTGATATCAAACCACATTTTTGCTGTCATAACACTGGCACATTTTCAAGTCATGCTGTTTTCTGGCTGCTAGCAGGGAGTAATGGAAACAATGCAGTGATCATGCAATTTATTAAAAATAGACACTAAAATACTAGGCAAGCGATGTTTTTAATTTAAAAAGGACTAGGATTCCTAAGGCTGCATAAAAATAGCTGTTTCAGCATCACAGAGGAATTAAAATACCTTGCTGCCTGTGAGTTGTTTATAATTTATTTCTGGTGATTTTCCTTTAGATCAGATTGTGATGCTTCTTGTGAATGGTGACTGTGCTTGCTGAGGAGTGGTCATGCAAGCAAAATCTGATAACCTCGATATGTCACTTCATCTGCCGTTTTTCTTTCGTTAATGCAAAGCTGGTTGCATAATATCTAATTTCTCCTTTAGCTGACCAGAGATGAAAACAAAATCTATAATGGCAGTGCTAGGTTTTATAAAAAACGCAAGTGAGGACTTGAAGGATGTGGCTTGTTCTGTTTGGACGATGCAGGATTGCTTTAAGCAGTAAGCTTACTGTTTTCAGATGGCATTAGCAGCATCAGTGATATAGCTGTGTCAGCCTCCTCGACTGCTGGATGTCTGTAATCGCACGGAGGAAACTATATTTAAGATCTGATATCTTGAGGGTAATGACTCCAGCACTTACTGATGGACAGAATGGCTGTTAATGCTTTCTTCACTAGCCCAGAAGATTTTGAAAGATAGATAGGTCTGTGATGTACTTTGATAAGGCAGGAAATGCAATTTTTGGGGGTCTCTGGAAATAGAAAGGTCATGCAGCTTGGAACCGGTGAGACTTTACAGTCCCTAAGTCATCAGGTATGACCTCATGGTTTATACTAATATTTCTAACACAGGGTTTGTTTTACAGTTTCAGGTCATTTGCAGTCTCTTTGTCTGTGTAATTGCTTCATGTTGGATTTGCCACGGGATTTATAGGGTAGACTGTTTACATAAGCAGAGCAACGTATATCTTAGAATTCTAATGTGTTAATTTTTATCTGAACAATGTAAGGTTATTCTCTATATATTTTCAACCTGTTTTATTGTGAATATGTTTTCTTTTAACTAATTAATGGTGAAGGGCTATCTCTCTGCTATAAAGTAAAATGACAAGATTGTATTGCATTTTATTTTGCTTTATCTTTACATGACACACAAAAGGTATTGTGATTGTTTTTGTTTGTTACATGAAATGCAGTATAAGGCAGCTGTTTACCTACAGTGCCAGGTTATTTAAAACAACGTATCACATTGTGTAACAGGACGGAGCTATTCTGCAGGCACAGATCTTGCTACATTTTGCAGCAGTTCATTCTTTTTCTTTTTGCTTCATTTCAAATCAGTTTTAAAAATAGCTCAGGGAATATAACAGTGAAAGTTTGGCAAGATAACTCTCCTCTTTTTAATTATTACACTCAGTGACGCATACTAATACTAATGGGTTGTAGAAGAGAAGATTAATATCTGAAAAATTTAGAATATTGTTAAAAACCAGATTAATTTTATTGAAGCATGTATTTTTTTTTTTTTTGTAACTGCTGTCAACTTTATTGCAATACTAATACTTGTAGATATGCTAATGTGATGATATACAGAAAAGACAGAGTACATAAAAGAAAACAAGTATATGGGTGTTTTACATAGAAATATAGTGGCCTAATTTCATATCTGGATCACAAAATGGATTTGGAGATACTGTTACCACTTTAGGTGTTTTAAACATTAGATAATGGCTGCTGTATTCCCTTGAATACATCACAGAGCAATTGTATTTAAAATTGTAAGAGAAATTTATTTTAAAAAGGGATATTCGGCTCCATCTTAAGAAATTCTACATATATTTGCAGAACATTTCCATGGCAACGTGTTTGACCATGTGTTTTAAAAGCTCAGCTGTAGCCTGAAAGTAGTGGCAATTTTTCTGTCTCTTGCTTTACCCTTGTGGAACAACAATTTTCACGTATAACTGGACAGCAGATTGGCAAGGGTGAGCGGTATTTTCTGACCCCAAAGCACAGGATTAAGTGATCAAGATTTAAAAATATTTTCATGTATCCACCTAGAAATGTAAACATGTAAGTCATGGATTTTATTTTGCATTTAGAACTATATTCAGATTTCACCTCATTTAATAACATTTTGCTGGAGCCGTATGTGTGTGGGAGACAACAGAAAATCTGACTTAAGTTTGTGCAGCAATGGTAAAAATGTCTGTCTTTTAATTTTTAATTAAAAGCATATTTGTAGAAAATACTGTATTGTACTCACCATAAATTCCAGTTTCTCAGTTTACTTTATCCATCTGACATTCTTATTAATAATGGGAAAAGACTGCCCTGCTCTTAAACTTGATTAAAGTTGGCATGACTTAACTATACCTTTCTTTTGCTACAAGATCCTTCTAATCTGTTAGAATTTATTTTCAGTATTTTGATGTGTTAGTCACAATGAGTACATTCTGTTTCTTGGCATTGGAATGAAATTCCTGAAAGTATTGGTTTCATGGTATTTTGGTGCTTTGCAGAGTATTTATAGACCTTTTAATAGGACCAACCCTCTCCCAGCTTCTTTGTTTTCCTTATTCAGTTTACAATCTTAGCTTCATTTTGAGGTCGCTCCTTCTTTGCTCATTTGAAATAATTAGATCTCCATGGAATTTTGCATCTGGAAGCTACAGCAGTAGGTTGTGCTTGTCCTGGACTCTCTTTCATCACTTACACTAATTCTGCAAACTGCATTCTGGATGGCTTTGGAATATATCATTGATATAATTTCCAGTAGTGCAGTGGACATCCATTGCAGCCTGTTGACAATGGAAACTATCTACAGAGGAAAATAAATTGGTGAAAAATGCTTGCTTGAGGAAGTTTGTGTTTAGGTCATTCTGTTTTGAAGCCACACTATTACTGACTATTGCAAGTGAGTTTGAATATAGTTTTTCACTCAAAGGACATAATCCCATTATAGGCCCTTGTTCAATTGGAGGGCTAGAGTAACACCCCAGAAGAATGTATCAAGGAAGTAAAGTTATTTTGTAAGAGAAAAAATTGCAGCAAGATAGAGTTAGACACATGAGAGCAGGGAATCGAACTGATCTGAAAACTTAAAACTACAAACTATTTTGCTTGTTTTACTTGTTTAGCTCCTACCTCCAGCCTCCTAAAAAAGACAGGTTTGAAAGAGCCTTGCTGATATTTGGACATACTGCACAAGAGTAGAGTCACCGAATCCAGGGCACTGTGTTAGTAGCAACTTAACAGGAAGACATTTTTGTGCCTTCTTGAAAACTGTATAATCTCTCTTCAAGATGATTGGTACTGTCAGTATTTAAAGAATGCTGTGTAAGGAAGGATCTCTCTAAATAAAGAATTCTTTTCCCTTGACTGAGCATGATGAATACGCATCCATGAGTATGCGTTTCCTTATCTTCAAAACACTGCAATTTACAGGATTCTCTGATGAAGGTCTGGTAGAGAAATACTGCTATAAGAACAATTGGGCAAGAGGCCAAATATTTGTGTCATTTAACAGTTTTAAACAAGTATGCTTTTGCTCATGCACATCCACAGTTGTGGTGCTTTTTCTTGTTAGTGGTTGCTGTCCTGATTCCACAGTACTGACTTCTTTTTGTAAGTTGTAGTGCCAGTTTTTAAGGAAATGAGAACACTGGGACAAACGGGAGAATCATGACCAAACATTTGCAAAACACTAGAAGCAAAGAGTACTTTCAGAGTTTGCTGAAAGAATTTAAATCTTTTTGGTGTACATTTAGGTGTCCTTCCTAAGACATGACCATCTTCCCTGGTCAAATACTTCTCAGTAAGTATTTTAATTCATGTATCAAGTCATTTGGCCTAATGGCCAGAATTAGGGAAGGGTGACTATTAGCATATCAGAAAGGTTTAAAATATAAAGTAACATCGCATAAATATGTAATAGCTGACAGCATGATCACAAAATACATAGCTACACAATGGCTGTTCCAAGAATGTTCCACTCTATTTAGTGTTCCAAGAATATCATCATGTGGTCATTCTGAATAAAGATTATTTGAAAGAATTTTCCTAAGATGCAGTCTGAAAATGTGAACAAATCACAATTATACTATAGTAATCTGATAAAAAAAAAAAATAGAGTAATATTTAATCCCCAAAATTTCCAGTAGAGGTAGAACCACCTAAGATGAAGTAGTAGGGAAGCTGAGCATATTAACACAGTAAAAGAGAATGGTTATGCGTTACCTAGAGTGGCATTTTTGAGAGAAGAAATGATCTCAGTTCATTCTCTCTCTCTCTCTCCATCCTACGCCTCTCTTTTAACCCTCCCATCCTATAATGAACCTCCTAAATAATATGACTTATTCATGTTGTTTCTTGTTTCCTTGCATGACCGTATTTATTTTGCCTTAAATTTTCAATAAATGTTATTAATAAAAGGATCCCATTAACATAAGTGCTGTTACACTACTGCGGTCAGTGGCTTTGCTGTCATTATAATTCCTTTAAGTAGAAGCTGATGCATAATTCTGGTAAATTCCAATAGATTGCTTCATTAGTAAAATCAATATTAACCACCGATCACACAGAGTAAACTCCATTCTTCTTGCCATACTGTTCTCAGTGTGACCCTAAAATTGCTTTCCTGAGTCATTTAAACAATGTACATACCAGCAAGGAGGCTACGAGACATGACTGATGATAAGTCAGGGAAATACTGCTCTTCCCTTATTGTTAAAGGGGACCAAGTTTTTTCTTATGTTAAAGTGATACTTCTCATATTTGGCTTGTATCTGTTTGCTCTTACCCTCTCACTGGGCAGCACCAAGAGCCTGGCTAGGTCTTCTCTGCATTGCCACCAGTGAGGGAGCTGTATGTTCTGGTAAGACACCTCTGAGCTTTCTTTTTTCAGGCTGGAACAGTCCCAGCACTCTCAGCCTCTCCTTTGATGACCTTTTTGTTCCTTTACTGGGCTTACTTCCTTATGTCCATTTCACTCATGTAAGAAGGGAATCCAGACCTGCTCAGAGCTCTCTAGTTATGTCTCAACAGGGCTCAGTAGAGGGGCAGAATCACATTATCTGGTGAGGAAACTTGGATTGTCAAGTTTCTAGTCAATTAATTACAGAAAAATTTGCACAGAGACCCTTGAAAAATGAGGACTGAATGTGCAGAAAATTATAATTGGTATTCTTGTGGAGAAGGAAAGCTTTGAAAATGTCTTTGCTTAATTCATAGTAGTCATTTTAGTGATTAAACCTCCTGTTGTTTTGAAATGTCGTATATGGAATCTACATCCCCCAATACTAATTGATATAAGCAGAGAATAAATCCTAAAGGGAAAGGCTAGACTAATGTTTTGAGCTAAGCAAACTTCAAAGTAACTGAGTAAAAGGATATTATCTAGTATGTAAACCCAAAAAGGTAAATTAAATGGAACATGACCTAGACGGATTCAAGAGTTGTGTTTTCAGTCAACTTGACAAAAAATAATTTGTTAATTTCTAGTTTTGCTTGAAATTAAGAGTGAACTCAGAGTTCTCAAATGGTCTCAAGTGTTGCAGCAGCCATCAACTGATAAAAAATATTCAGCTTGGTATATTGAATGATGTAAAACAGGAATTAAGTGACATTAGGGAGTGTCGAGGTATAGTAAAATTTTTCTCATTTTACAATAGCTTCCCTGTGTTCCCCCAGGCTGCTTAAATGAAACAAAAATGTATATAGGAGCCTTCAGTGATTTAAGATCCATCCATATCTTTCCCGCTAGCATAATGAGTTCACTTGCTTAAATTCTCTTTATTAAAGATTTTATGCAGG